CAGCAGGTGGAAGGAAGGAATGGCAAGACACTCAAATCTCCTATCCTTTTTTTTACACCTTTTATACTCCATTATTTATAGGCCATTACTACTAGCAGTATTGCTCAGTTTGATCAGTCCTCTGGGGCAGAACTGGATACATTACTCAGCCATAGAAAAGCTGGCCTGTCTGGCCCAGAAGCTGCCCTGCTGTGTAGAAATGGTCCAGCCCAGGGAAATTGAAAAAAAAAAAAAAAAAACAGCCTGTTGTGGCTAAGTGACCCTACATTGCTGCAGTGCGCTTGTGAACGGAGATTTACTTGAGGAAATTAAAGATTTAGGCTGTGAAGAAGAAGTAGGAAGTGGAATGTTTATGTGTGGCCTGGGTTTCATCTGAGGTTAGCCAGCTAAGAGGTGGACATCCAGGAGCCACCTCAGCAACCTCTGCTGTCCCTGTCCCTCTGTGTCCCAACACAAGCCACCAGTTTATCCCAGCTGGCTCTGTTGTGTCAGCATGGGAGGAATCATCTTTTAAGGTATCTTTCTTTCTCTGTTGATGAGTAAGGAAGTTTTCATGACTGAAACAGACCAAACATTTAATTTTTAAATAAAGCATCAAGATGAGTCCTGTTCAGTCCATAATGCTTGCTCTGCTCTCAGAGCTTTGAAAGAGCTAAAGTTAAGCCAATCATGATGTGGACACATATCCATGAGCATCACCCAAGTGCAGGAAAAAGACCTACTCTAAAGAGAAGTTGTAGCTATAGAGAGGAGGAAGAAAAAAATATAGATTAACTCTTTATTTGGAATTAATTTTTAATTAAGAGACAAAAGAAATGTATATAGTATTTATTGGAAGAAAAAATATATAAAAGCACATATTTTAAAAAAATACTTAAGAATAATTCATAGTTTAATGATATTTATAAGCAGTAAAGATATATTTGTATTTTTTCTATCTTTATATAGAGAAAATAAGATTTACTCTTCATAAAATTTGCATATACCATGGTTATGCTGTTTGCCTACTTTAGTATATCATGGAGAAGCTAGTGTCATTATCAAGATCAGACTTCGCAGTGCATTAATTTATATTTAGTGACTGCAGAACGTGAATGATGATCTTCAGAGTTGGCTTCTCAGATTGTGCTAATGTAGATTTTATTTTGATAGATTAAAGCCTTGCCTCATTTACTCAATCCTTTGGAATTAGAATTAGATTCTTAGGTCATAAATTAGGGGAGAAAACAACTTTATTTGACATAGTCTCTTTGCGCTTTCTGTTTGTAACCATTTCCGTGGAACCGAATGTCACTACTACTTAGCAGTAACTAAAAGTTTGTTTTACATAGCTGTGAGAGAATATAGTAACAGCCTACTGAGTCTCCTCAGGTCAATCAGTCCCACACCATATGGGAAAATTGTAATGAGAATTTTGTTTTTTACATTATAGAAAATATTTCCAGAACTTAAAAAAGGAACATCATTATTTTGTTTTTTCTTTGAGCGAAATGGTTTCTGGTTACTATAAAAAGCAGATGTAGCCCAGCTCCAAATACTCACATCCTATTCACTTCTATAAAAAGTAATAAGCAGGTTTGAAGTGTTTCAAACTTGCCTGGTAATTATGTGTTTATACACGTCACAGCATAAGGCAATGTGGTTGTTCCATCACGGTTTTGATCAAAATACCTGTGCCCTGGACAACCTGCCCAGAGGGTGACCAGAGCCTCCTGTAGCTCCTGTGTTGTGTTGGCCGGCCCACATCAGGTGTCCTGCACATCTTGTGTATCTCAGATTATACTGGACTTCTCCAGGAGATGGGAGAGTGAGTAACGTGCTAGGAGCAGGAGTAGCATCCAGCTCTTGTGTGCTGTTGGTGGCAACACATTGGTGCAGGTCCACGTGTCATCTCAGTGATCTTCTGAAAGTGTGTGATTTCCTAAAATTCAAACTTCTTACAAGACTTCTAAAACTCAGCATCTCATTGCAGTATTTCCTCCTATAGTGAAGCCTTATACATACAGAAAACAGAATTATGAGAGCTGTTGTCCTGCCACAGAATAAATCTACTTTGATATCTAGAGATTATTTTAAAAAGACGAAAGAAGAAAAAATCAGTTCAAACTACTCCTACATCCAAACGATGGTAAAAAATTCAAGTATCCCAATTCAGTAGCTGAGGGTGGTAGTTCCTGGGCTCTCAGGGGCTGCAGGTTTTTCTTTGTAGGGGAAGATTCGCCCATAAAGTGACTTTATTGTATTATGATATAGTATTTAAGAAGAATTGGATGATATCATTTTGCATGCAGTTGTAATAGTTTTCTGTTCAAATTCTGTTTACACTGATTACTGAACTACATCCACATTTTATACTAATCTGGCCTGAAGGCTTTTGACCAGTGTTAATAAACACTGTTCTCATTTTTCTTTTGTACTGCCACTTCGCATATCCTACTGATCCTAGCTTTAAAATTCTTTATGCCAGTTAGTGAAATAATACTTGCATTAAATTATGGTTTAAATTATTCTAATTTCAGCAAGTTAGTTCTGTAATTCTGGAAGAAGGAAGAATTGTGTTTATTAAGCCTTTTTGTCTTTGGCTGGATTGCCCTTCCAGCTACATGTGAGCTGCATGGATAGTTTCTTGGTCACAGACATATTCTGAGACAGCTGGCACCAAGCAGGGAGCCAAATCCAATTCTAGGGACTTGCCAGGTAGAGTGGAAATTAGCTAGAATGGAAGTGCCAAGTTATAGCTTGGTTCAAGTTATTTTTTGCACGACTGGCTACCACTCATGGTGTGGCTTGTGATATCCAAAGTCTTGCATTGAAAAATTCCCATTCCATCTGGAGAACAAATTATTTTCAACTGATTTCCCACTGCATTTATTAAACAAATAGGTTGTGAAGTTGCAAAAATGGGTGTTGTCTTATGTGGTCATTGACATCTTACAAGCATGGTATAAATTACTGAACTTCTTCAAAATGAAAGATCTTTCTGGACTGGTGGGGTGCTCAGAGAGCTCTGAACTTCCACCAAATTTGGTGGTGGACCCCATAACCTTGACATAAGTGTTTTCAGAGGTTGGAAAATCTAAATTCATTCTTCAAGAAAAGAACAGTTGCAGTGTTTTGAAGATACATGAAAACAGTTACTTGCATTTATTTTTGTAGGTTGGCTGCACACTGAGCCTAGTCTCAATAGCAGGCTCTGTCAAAAGCAATCAGTTAAAGCTTTGGCTGCATTTTAATATATTCCAACATTTCAGACTTCACCCAGTAAGAAAATAAAAATAAAAAATAGCCTTATATTCTGGCTGTCAGTTGTTTATCGTGCTCTACCATATTTTATGGAAACTTTCAGCTTGTGTATATATTGTTTTGAGAAAAATCTAACAACAAAACTACAGGAGCTTTTTTGCTAATTCTCAAACACTTCTTGTCCACCTACCTTGAAACATACTCTCTTATTAAGGGGTTACCAGATAAAAGAGCTATTTAGCTAATTTATTATCTGAACTATAACCACAGCAGTGCTCTGTAGCCTTTTATAGTCACATAGCACAGAAAAGAGCCTGGGAGGGAACATGTCAGCAGAGACATGCAGATGACAAGTGACAGTAAAATAGTTACCTTTTGTGAAGACTTTTTC